CACGAACTTCACCGGAGAGCCGCCGCACCCGAGAGCACCGCCGTCGGTAAGCTTCGGTTTTCCGTAAATTTTTGGCCCCTCGAGGGCCGTAGGGTTGTTTTATCACAGGAACTAATGCGAGTGTGGCCGAAAACGGCCAACCCGAGGCAAACTGCCGCCGCAAGCGGCGGCGCCGTCGCCGGAGCACGGCGGAGCCGCCGTGCCGGAGTTGCGATTTGGGCCGAAAGGGGCCCTGAGCCTAATTTGGGATTTTTTTGGAACACGTGCAGGTACCCGTAGTGCGTTTCAGTTCCCCGAGAAAAATTCAGAAAAAATTAGGGACAGCCTGTAGGCGCACTGTGAAGCCGTGTTCGGACCCCGAAACGAGTAAGGACCCCTCACCCTATTTCCTATCACGGTATTAAAGCTTAATAAATAATTAAACAGTATTTTGAGACTTTATAGATGTATAATTGATTGAGGTTGCCAATGGAGCCCGAGTCTGATACAATGTTGGTCTGTTATTGTTTGATCTAATTTTCAGTATTAAATGCAGTATGAGGTTTGATGTTTTCATTTTATAGTTTCGTGTGCATATTTTACTGTTTTATTGATTATTGGTTGAATGACTGAAATACCGATACTGTATGTTGTCTGTTTGGCATGAATTACTGTTTTGCTTATCTAAATGCGAATTGATGATGCTGATTGAGGAAAAGAAGAATGGAAGATTGTATAAATTGATAATTGTGTAATGGGGTCAGCCTGACTAGGTATCCTGGGAGATGGTGGACGGACCGGGTCCGTAGGGGACTCTACCGGGATTGTGGTCTCTCATACCGGACAGGGTATGGGGATCTTATGTGTTTTAGCGACCATACCGGACGGGGTATGGGGACGGCCCGTTTCACCCTCATACCGGACGGGGTATTGAGGTTTACAGTTTTGGCGTCCATACCGGACGGGGTATGGGGACGACCCGTTTCACCCTCATACCGGACGGGGTATTGAGGTTTACAGTTTTGGCGCCCATACCGGACGGGGTATGGGGACGGCCCTGGAATCTGATTACAAGTATTAAGGGTAACGGGTAGCGGGGGCCCTATGGATCCCCATGGATACTAGTAGGCTGGTGAATGAGGACAAGTAATTGTGAAATGATTGAATTGCAAGGGCGTGATGAGTATTATGTTACTCAGTTTATATGATTTCATGATTATGATAATGTTATTGCTTTCGTATATTGTTTTATGAATTTCACCGAGGTAAGTGAATGGTAAAATGTTTTATTACTGATAAATGAGTTTATTGTAAATTATGCTCCATTGGTCTTTTTGTGTTTTCTACCAACCTTTATCTCCGTGACGGTGAGATATCGTGATATCCTTACTGGGCTAGTGTAGCTCATTCCTTATTTAATCATTTCAGATCAGAAAGACATTGTTCCCGAGCCCGTTCCGCAAGAAGACGACGAAGGGGACGCCTAAAGACTCCAAAATCATATTCATAGTTTACTTTCGAATTTCTCTTTTAATTAGTTTGATCTTTTATATTTTGAGCACGTTTTTGGTTTTAGTGTAAGGGATGTTAATCGAATTTTGACTTCGCTTCCGCATTTAATATTTTTAATATACATTCCATTTTAAATTTCCAGAGCCGTTACACTCCCCATTTCTCTTCGACCCTCTTTTTTATTCTCCTCAAAAGTGCCTCCTTCACTACCAACAATTAATTATTTCATTTCAAGAGATTAATTTAATTAATAATTTAAAAATTTTAATTATTGCATAATTATATGGAAAAAAAATTAATTAAAATAATAATTACCTCAAAGTGTTGCATCAATGACTCTATTCTTGAGATGCACAGAGCATTAATTAATTATGATTAAAATTAATACCATTAATTAATTATGATTAAAATTAAGGTTAAATTACACTAAAGTCTTTGAAATTTTAACCTTAATTATAATTATTATATTCATGGGGTAAAATTTTTTTTACCTAATTTTCTAATAACCCAATACAATAAAATTAATTTATAAATAGTGCATTTATTTTGTTATATTTTACTTTTTACTATAGATATACATGCATGATACATGATATAATTATGCAAAAAAAAAAACCCATAATTCTCATCTCTCTCCTCTCTCTCTCTCTCTATATATATATATGTATATATGTATATCAACCCTTGAGCAGAGAGAAAAATTTGGTTGGACAAATAGTGAAATAATAAGAAGACAATCAGAATCCAGATATCCTTTTCCAAAGATATTGTTCTTGCAGGCTGAGGGAGCCTCACGTTTCCCAACATGATGAATCACATTATCTGGTTCACATGTAAATATATATGAACACACATATATACATATATATATATAGCCCAAAATCTCAATTAATTTGGGGAATCAACAGATTCCTGATCTGTTTTTGTTCATATATCTTTTTGAGAAATGTTTGTATCTATATATATATATATATGTATACATACAAACATTGAACTCTAAGATATATAATATATTGAACTGAACTGGGTATAATTAGACCAAACTCTATGTGTGTGTGTATACATATATATATATGTCTATATATCTAGATATATATATATATATATATAGACTGGGTGAAGAAGTGAAGGCTGTATTCAGGAATGTTTTGCTTGAGTATCTCCCATGATTCCTTCACCAGATTCTCCTCTTTCTCACTCAAACTCATCTCTCTTTCTCTCTCTACTGCTTTTCTTTTTCTCTACCGCTCAATACACATAAAAGGAATAAATATATATATATATATACACGTGTACATACGTGGTAATAAAATTATGGTCAGTAGATTTTTTCCAACGTAATATCCACGCTGGACGAGTATGCTGGTACTATTTTTTTTAATATAAATTAAAATATCATAAATAATTATATATATGCAATTATAGATTTGAGTACATATTCTTTATAAAAATAAATAAAATTATGATATAAATTAAGAATTATTGACTAAATAAGTTATTTTAATAATTATTAAATAAGCTTCACCAGAGGTTCATTTTTGCTCGAATGAATTAATCAGTTAGAGGTGTGTGTGTATATATCTATATATACATACATATACTTATATATATATATATATACATATTTTAATTTTTAAAAAGCAAAAACGATGCGTATTGGGCCACCATAATGTCATGAATATAAAAATGGGCATGACTGAACTGACACCCATTCACTCTACACTGAATCCCATGTTTAAACTTAGTTCAAGAAATACATATATGTATATATATATGTAGAATTTTAAAAAAAAAATTAAAAAAAATTGTGATGCTTCAATAATAAAACAGAGCAAAAATCCCATTTAAAATAATAAAAAATTAAGTTAATAAAATTTTAATTTTAATTAAATTATAATTCGAATCCTGAATATATCGATCTAATTTCACTTGAACTTCTCTATGAAATGATTTTTTATCTTCTACTAAAGTTTTCATCACTCGTAAATTTCTTAATTACTTTACAGCAACCCTTAAATTTATTCTAAACATAGAATTAGATATACTTCTATTTCTTCAATTTAAGTTATATCTATATAGTACATTTTAATAAGAATTCACGTTTATTCTTAAAAATATTGGGTATAAATTCAAAAAAAAATGTCAAATTTACATATATATATATATATAGGTTCCTGCTTTGAGTAAGAGATAATATAAATTCAATTAAAAGATTGAAAACAATATATTTTAAATTCCACTAAAATCCATAAATTTGTTTCAAACATAGCCAACTGAAATGCACACGTAAAAAGAATTTGTATTGCACTGATTAGATGAAGCTGTGACAAGGGCAAATGGAGGATTCCTTATAGTACGAGTTATATATATATATATATATATATATATATTCAACGCAAATAGAAGATCAGTGAATGAAATTTTCAACCAAAGTTTTCAGGCTCCACTAAATTAATCACATAGTAACCATCTAATGATATGAAAAAATCAGAAATCAGGATCAAATCTTAGCCATTGATTTTCGTAGCATGATAAGAGACTCTAAGATTGAAGACCAAAACTCTATAAGTCTCACCTGTTTCAGGTACAACTACTAGGAAGCATCATTTGCATTACACAAAAGTTGGGAGTGATATTTCTCAGAAGATCACACCAAGTCGGAAACTACTCAGGCTTTAACGGAATCAGCTCTCGGCCTCCAAAGTCCTAACCTATATTTGTGGGTGTGTTTCAGTATTAATTTCCTCTGCAAAATCAAAACAAAAGTCATAACTGGTTATGAAACAGTCTGAGTCCAGAACAAACTTGGGGTTCTAAAGTGTTTACTAATCCAGAATCACAGCAGTTCAATCCCCAGTTTCCGTAGTGACTTGGCCACTAATAAAAAAAAAATCCAGAAGTAAAACGGATACTTGAGTTATATCATATAAATAAATCACATATACATGTTCGCATATGTAATGGAAGTATGCTTGAGAGAGTTGGAAATAATTACGTGTTTGCAAGGGATGCCAAGTTTCTTGAGCCTAAGTGTGCGAGTAACGAGCAATTTCTGAAAGTCACCTATCTCAGATTCAAGCTTAGTCACATGGGTTTCAACCCCTTTCCCTATTCCACTCAGAAACTCCGGAATCCCAACCTTGACTGCAATAACGAGAACAATCACTCCGTCAAACCCATTCTCTATATATCCATATTAAAAAGCCACTTTTCCTGGAGACAGATATTACACCTTGAATCTTCTCCTAGATACTAAATGCAAGCTACCAAATAGGATGTATCATTATGGAAACTGAAAAGCAAATCATGAAATAATGTGACGAGTGAGATATGGATTCAATTTCATTTTATCCAGCCATCTCTATTGGCTTAGCAGCCAAGTAAGATAAAACACACAAGAAAAAGTTTGCCATTAACAATCAACTAAAACGAAGCATCATCTTCTGCTTGAATTGGTTCGAAAACTAAATTATGCCTTAGTTGCAATATTTTTCATATGTCAGAGAACCTTAAATAAGATAAAAACTTAACAAAAAAAGTGCTAAAGAACAAAATTAATCCAACATTTTTATCTTAAAGGGCTATAAACATCCGAAAAAAAATTTCCAAGTTCTTCATTATGATTGCTGTATTCTCATAAACCAAACAAAATGCAAATCCTTATTCAAACACAAACTCAGATATTCCCACATACCTACTCACTGCCAAGCATGCTAGAACATCTTGTTTTCCAGAAAACTATATACAGAAAACGCATAAAAATATGTATTCTCTTGCTTTCCCAATAACCAGAATGTGAAACTGAAATAATCAGAATCCAAAAAACTTAACAACGCTAATAATTTAGAAAAACTGTACCAACATATGCAGTAGATTTGGAGAAGAATCTAGAGGACCCAGGAGTTGAACAGGGTCGGTTAATTGTCTCCCTCACGTGCTGTATGATCTGCCTCCACGCCATTCTTGCTTGATTATCACCCTCTTTAAAATATAAGGATCTCTCACAAACAATTGAGAGGTCGCCACTAGCCTAAATTGAAATGAACTGCATTCAAAGAAAAGAAAAATAAAAAAATAAAAAATTGAAATAGAAAGGACAAAATATCCAACAAGATTCTTACAGTGTCAACTAATAATAGGGGCCTTGATAAATATAAGATTCTCCTAATCGAGGTGATAAAAATGAGAATAGCATACATTGCAATGAAAAAAAGTTCGATAGAACCACTTAGAAGGTTCTTTATTTGGATAATAAGTAATGGTTTAGTTATATGTTCTACTCTATTTGTCCTCATTCCTTTTCTATGAGAAAATATCTAGGATTCAGATTCATTTTTTCTCTAAAAAAAAAAGGATTCAGATTCATTTTATAGCTACAACAATAATATTAATACTCATGTTTCACATTCTTAGAGAACTGAGTTAACCTATTACAAGCTTTCAGAGAAGATGATCAATATATTTTAAGTTTCAAGAAAGAAAATGTTTCTTGATGGATTCTTGCCTTTCAATTGGACACCGACCTCTTATGTTTTACCTATAACTAATCTCAATTATTCCAAATAAAGTTTGTTGGAATATAAAAGTTTTCACTATCTGTCTTCTTACTTTTTTCTCTCACAATTTTTAGAATCCTACTCTACCAACTTGCCTCAAGATGAACCCAACTAAACCTGCACCACAAAATAGTTCAAAATTTTGGTCCGTACATCTCAGGGGGGTTGAGGATCTTCGTAATAACATATGAGATCAAAAGAACAAAAAAAAACATGCAATGGCAAAATTAAGGATCACAAACAACTGGGAAGGGAAACTTAAGCACATAGAAAATAAAAGTGAAAGCAAAATGAAAAAGTTTCTTTTGCTCCGTTCTAAAAGTTTTGTATTGGGACCTGGCCCTACCCAATACGATGTACTCCTCAAGGGTTGGAATGCTAACTTGATGGAGCTATAAATACTGCCATATCCCTGGATGGCAGTGCGGTGCTTGCATGTGCTCCTTGTGTACAGATCAGATAAAGGGGGGTGGGAGAGCAAGTCAGGGTACCGGTGAAGGCGACTTGGGGTATGCCAAAGCCCCTTTCTAAAGGTCTAACCTATTAAGACCTATGGCCTTGCATGCCTAACTGCCACCACCCTTGAAATTATCTCAAAAACAAAAAACGAAAGCAAAGTGGAAAAATTACTATTCTATCAAATGAAATGAAGGTCTCCTCTGACCAAACCACTCCATTTGACCCCAGCTTATGTATTCTAAACAATCACAAAAGAGAAGAGGAAAAAGAAAAGTTGAAAAGCATAATGATTTTAAGAAAACAATATGATCAAGCAAGTCATTATCAATCATATTCATGAAACAAGATGCCAAATAAAACCACATGCAATTGACACATAAAGATATTAGGACATATTATCTAGAGTGGAAGTTCCAATTTTTTAACAGAGTCAGAACCATCCATGTGGCTAATCATCAATTACACAAGAGGAACCCAAATATGATTCAACCCAAGAGGTACTGTAACTTTTTTTTGGGAGATAGAAGAAGAACTATTATTAGAAAGAATAGAGCAAAATACAAAAGAAAAAGAAAAAAGAAAATCAATGTAACACTACTTCCCAGTCTCTCAGCAAAATATAACACGTACATATATAAACTGATTTAACACACATAAGAGGCTACCCACAATTATTCTACTCTACTCTAGACCTAAACTAAATGGCCATCATGCACTTTGTTCTGAATCTCTTCCAGAACTCTCAATTTTCATCTTTGCTAGGAAACAAAACAATCAACTCCAGAAAAATGCCCTGATTCATAAATGTGTAAGATCAGCCGCAAATTCTAATGTGTTACGTATACACAGTCTTAACAGCAACCAGAATCGACTCCTCAAACTCGTCTACTCGTGAATTTTTTTTTTTTTTTTTTAAGTAAAAAATAAAGAAAAAAGGCTT